ATTAATATACATAATTGTATATCAATTAAAACATGTTTAAAAAATATATTTTTATTTTAACAAATTACACCATTATAATCGTCTCTTTAATACCTTCGAAATGAGTCCAATATTGAATAGTTTTTTACTTAATTATATTATTATATATTATATATACTGTGAAAAAATATTTTTAATATTTACGATATATACCTTTTATAGTTATTTATTTATATATATATACTATATATTTTGGGGTTAGGCTGTCCGAATTGCACTATATAAGATGTTCTGAATTAATATGTTATTGGGTTTTTTGAAATATATATACATATATACATGTATTAATTCAATCTTAATTTGAGTTTTTGGACAAAAAGAGGGTAAACAGTTGAAATTTTATTCTAAAACTCATCTTTTTGGTCTTTTCATGGCTTATGATATGTTAAATTTGTAGTTTTATTTATTGGTTTTGAGTGTTTAACTTAAAACTCAAGTTTCTTGGTTCTTTGCTCTTTGTGTAAATCGAACACATTTGTGGAGTCGTTTAAATATATTGGATTTTAAACTGTCATACAATTTTTTTCATCGATAGTTTATAATTGGAACCATAACTCTTATCTATTCAAATTGTATTAATATGTAAAGACCAAGTGTAACATATATCATCGTTAAATCTTATCTTATAAAACCAGTGGAACTTCAAAATCGTTAATTCATGGCTCCCGCCGCATTGCGCGGGTACACAACTAGTCGTAAAATGATAAAAATTAGAAAATATATAAATAGGAATTTAAATTTATCTTTAAAATTGGTTCTCTTAACATACATTTGGTATATTGGACATAATATAATGTAAATCATTGTTTCATATTTGACATAACTTGTATATGTAATATACATAAACATATTTCTCTAGAGGTTTGCTAACCTCTGGGTCCATAAAAAACTGCCCTATAAGGTCCATTTGTAAGACATTGTTTCTTCTAATATCTTGTGTGTTGGATATGATGGTTATACATAACATGTAAAAAAATTCATGCCCTGTGTATCACATATGATAACATGTAATTATGCTTATCTTGAATATGTATGTGTATTAATATTTTCATGTAAAACAAGCATGCCAACTTAACTTGTAATGCATAAAATACTTTTATATATAACATTCATGTATCTCATAAATCACATTAGAACTCACCTTGATTTTGCCTATTTTTTCTTTTGATTCATTTCTTAATATTTAATTATGTATATATAGAGAGATTTCTTATTTTTGTTATGCACAAATAGTGACTTTTCAATCCATATTTATAGAAAAATTCATTGCATTAACTGTTTGTTTCTTTTTGCTCTCAAAATTGTACTCTTATGAAATTTAACACCTTCTTCTATAAAGATAAAAAAATCTTGACAACTCATTTATAAGGATAAGAGAATTTTAACAACTCATGTTTCTAGTACTCCTTGTCATGTTTCCTATATTTGTTTTTTAATCAATAGTCTTGCCAACTCATATTTTTTTAGCTTAAACAACTCATCACTAGATTGCTTATTTATGCTTACTGAACTTGTCAACACACTTCTAGCCTTAACACTTTATCACTAGCTTGTTTGGTCTTATAATTAAGATGTTTCACTAAATGTAACAGATGCTGGAGTACTCGAATTACTCATAAATATTTGCACTCAAGGCTTAAATATTAAGATTTATCAAATAAAGAAACTTGGGTGTTACACTGTTCGTGTTCGTTTGATTCGTTTATAGCCCTATCTAGCATGCTTTCAGTGGTTCCTTAATTCTCAATGAAAAATAAGGCTTATAGATATATATTTCTGATGTTAAATTGAACAAAAAAAATGGTGTTATGGATGTAATTTATAACCAATGCATTTTTATGATATTAGATCTAAGCAGTTTAATATAGTAATTGAGTGTATAAATGATTGTTATACATTAGCTTGATATATGGCTTGAGATTTATAATCCCAAGACATCTGTATCAGCATTAGACTAAAATATTAAGCTTCCACTGTATACTGAATGTACTGCTACTGGTTTTTCAAATCTAGAAAATTTAATATGCATTGTACCAGTAGTATTGCGAGAATGAGCAGTTAGGTATTATGTTCAATTAATATCAGTTTTGTGTGATTTACATAAAGATATATATATATATATATATGTTTTTAGTATTCTTGAAACATGGATTGTACTTGTTGAATGTTTACATGGTTTAAAGCTTTAGAGCATGTCAAGTATGGATATGAGTCATGGGACGGTGTGCCCATCCTCTTATCATCAAGTCAAGTAGAAACAGTGTTTTATACCTATCTCTGATAGGAACAAACAAACATCAATACCGTCCAAGTAGAACTGTAAGATGCGAAGCCACAAACAACCATACGAAATGAATCGGTGGAAGCAATCGAGTATCGATACAAGGTGAATAATGTCTTTTATTTGGCGAGTTCATAAGTGATCCGATAACCCACACCATACCGATTAAGAGTTTACATCTCATGGGAAGTTGGTATTTAGCAACCAGCCAGCAATTATTAATATCAAAGATAAAAAAGTATTGTTATTTATCTTTTAATAGTTTCATTAAAAAATATTTTCTGTTTGACAAAAAAATATGTCTTTTAATGATTTTAATTATTTTAAATAATTTTGTATCTTAAGCTTTTCTTAACTATTTAACACCATGATTTCACTGTAAACAATTATATTTCATATTTCATAAATCATTAAAATCAGTTAATCAATCTAATTTCTTATTTTACATCAAACCATTTAACAACTTACAATCAATCAAGAAAAACACTAAAGAAGGAACCCGGTTGAATACTTTGTTGCAAGATTGACAAATCAAAGCACGAAGAAGAAGATGAAACAAAAGTGATTTACCTTTGCTTGACTCAATTTAGGGTTAAAACCCCCAAATTCGTAGATCAATCGAACTTGAGCAAATTCACGAAAACCTGAATTCCATATCATATCATTTTAACACTGAAGGATTACACAAGTTTCAACTCCAGAACCACTTCGAATTTTTACAATAAAACGCAGGACATCGTTGTAATTTTCAAGTACAGAATACCAAAACCCTAGCATCTACCGATCTACGCCAATCTCTAAGAGCTTGTAAACTTAGTTACAGCCTTGGTACCTTCAGATACCGCGTGTTTCGCCAATTCACCGGGAAGTACAAGTCTCACGGCGGTCTGAATCTCCCTGGAAGTAATCGTCGGCTTCTTGTTGTACCGAGCAAGCCTCGAAGACTCCTGAGCCAACTTCTCGAAGATATCGTTGATAAACGAGTTCATAATCCCCATAGCTTTGCTTGAGATTCCAATGTCAGGATGAACCTGCTTCAAAACCTTGAAGATGTAGATCTTGTAAGTCTCCACCGACTTCTTGTTCCTCTTCTTCTTCTTATCGGTTGCCGACGCATCCTTCGGGAGTTTCTTCTCGGCTCTCGGCTTCTTCTCCGCAGGAGCTTTCTCGGCGGCCGGCTTCTTCTCCGCCGGTTTCTTCTCTGCCTTTGGTGCCATTGAAAAAAGGTGTTTGGTTTAAAGTTTGGAGAGAAATGGACGCTTTGTATGTTGGTGGAAGGAAACGTAAGTTATTGGTGTTTATATAGAAGGGTAAAGGTGTTATCTGATTGGTGGATATCGTTTGGCACGGATTATGAATTGAGACCGTAGATTACGTGGATATGTTAATCAACGGTTGAGATTGAAGTCGTCTGTAAGTTTTCGTAATTTGGGCTTTCGCGCGTACGGTTTAAGCGACATCGCTAAATTTAGAATGATATTAGAAAACATATAAATAGAATTTAAATTTATTTCCAAAAATTACAGATGACGGGTTCTCTTAAGATACGTTTGGTATGTTAAACAAAACATTATAAAAATAACTATTTCGTGTGTGACATAACTTTTATACGTAATTTACAGAAGGGAAATTGACCAAAAATAACCGGTTTATACATCGTATGCTAACAAAATGACCAATTTTTAGACATTTTTTCAAAAAAATAACCAACCAAATCACCTCTGGAGGCGATTTTGACCAGAAGGTATGGAGGTGTCTCACATGTATCTGATTTGAAGGACAAAAATAAGATTATTATGCATGATTTTGTCCAAATCGCCCCCTGGCACGATTTTGACCTTTTTTTGTCTTCTAGTGGTCTGCATGTATACCATTTGAGGGACAAAAATCAAATATAGTATCTGATATTGTAGGATCGCCCCCTGATAAGCCTAAAACGCCCCATGGGGAAATTTTGATACAAAATCCGTAAACCCCAAATCGCCCCACTGGACAAAGTCCCTAAACCCTCTGTACCAGTGAGGAGATTTGGGGATGTCTGAGGTGATTTGGACAAAATCAGGTATAATATTTATTTTTTGTCTCCCAACTCAGATACATGTGAGACCTCTCTGTATCTTCAAGTCAAAATAGCCCCTTATGGGCGATTTGGTTGGTTACTATTTGAAAAAAGACAGAAAAATGGTCATTTTGCTAACATCCGGTGTCTAAACTAGTCATTTTGGTCAATTTCCCTATACAAAGATAGATTAAAACAAAGTGGAATAAGTCTAAATTTTACCAATATATGCCCAATCTAAAAATTTACTATTAGTTTTGTTCAATAATGTCTTGTCTTACCATACACTGGACAAATGTTTTGTCCTTTTTCTTGTTATGCTTTGTCATGTTTTGTTTTGTCCTATCTAATACAAATGCACCATTTTTCATTGAAAACCGAGGAACTTCAAATCACGTCATATGTCCATATTCATGGTAGATATGGATATCCGGCATGCTTTCAATGGTTCCCTAATTCTCGATGAAAATGAGGCTTATAACGAAAACATCTAAGCATTGTTAATATAGCAATTGAGTGTATAAATGATTCTTATACATCAGCTTGAAATATAACCACAACACATTTGTATATACACAATTGGTTATTATGCTTCCACTGTATGCTGAATATACTGCAATTGGTTCTTCAACACTAGAAAATCCACTATGCATTTTATCGGTATTATTGCGAGAACGAGCAGTTGGGTATTATGTTCAATTAATATGAGTTTTATGTGATTTGCAAAAAGAGACACGTGTGCTTTTAGTATTCTTGAAACATGGATTGTACATGTTGAATGTTTATATGGTTTAAAGTTTTAGAGCATGTCAAGTATGGATACGAGTCATGGGACGGTGTGCCTTTCATGTAATCATCAGGTCAAGCAGAAATAGCGCTTTATACCTGATAGGAACATTCAAACATCAATACCAGCTAAATAGTACGTTAAGATCTGATGCCACAGACAATGATACGAAATGAATTAGTGGAAGCGATCAAGTATCGGTACGAGGTGAATAATGTCTTTGTACTTGGCGAGTTCATAAGTGATCTGATAACCCACACCATATTGGTTAAGAGTTTACATCTCATGGGAAGTTATTGTTTTGCGTGTATGCAAGTGTGACCAAGAATGGTATGCATAATGTTTTACGTACATCTTTCAGATAGCATGTTGCATTGCATGAAACATTGTTAGGACTTAAGTGTTGTATATGAAGGCAAGTTGGTATTTAGCAACTGGGCGACCATTATTTTAAGATATGTCTTGGAACGTTGTTTCATATGAAAAATCATGAAGTCGTTAAGCTTATCGGCTTACTAACGACATGCACCCCAAAAGAAAGCAAGATGCGCATTGAGAATGAAAAGCTCTACGCGATTGTTAGGTAGGGATTAATCATAATGGGGCAAGTTCAAACTAGTACGCTAACTATTTAAGAAAACAAGAAAAGTGTCGTTAATGTACAGAATCATACACGATTCACATACACACACACACACACACACATATATATAGGGGCATAATCAAATGAGAACTAATTAGTTTGTGGTAACTGTGAGAA